TGGATCGAAGAAACGGAGACTTCAAATTAAAACTGCTGCGGTTTAATTCACACCACAGAAGTAAGAAAATGAATAAATCGTCAAATTTAAAAATGACAATTAATTATAAACGCTTGTTTTTAAAATTCTAATAATTCTAATACAAAATAAGCAAAATGAAAATAACCTCCTATTTTTAACTATTCGCTACAAGTAAAACAATCAACGATCAGTTTGTAAATTTATTGTAATATTTAATAACTAGAAAACATTGACAGCTTTTGAAAATCACACCGTGAAAAAGACATTCAAACTATACTTAAAAAATTTCTATTTACAACATCGTGATAATGAGGAAGTATCCAAAAGGTGAAGCTGATCTGAATTATGAGTTTTAAAATCACTGCAGTTTCATCCTAATGCAAAAAAAATTTGAAATAGATCAGAAAAGCCCTTCAAAATACCCCTTGGTGTAACTGACTGCTCGTAGTTTCTTTATTAATTCGTCTACTTGTCTTAATCGCTTACTAATGGTAAAATATGCTCTCATGTCATTGATTATATTGATGGTATCTTAAAATAGTAACTTTTGTTGAATTAGACTATCAGAATTGCGGACACTTTCTTAGAAAGTGCCGGTATCACCATTTCAGATTAGCCTGCTAGGAGCCCAGATATGAATCCTATTGAGTATTGGTTGAATGAATTAGGACGTAGTGTATGCACTTACGAAAGGCTTACAGCCACACTAGAAGGGATGTTGCATTATCAGAAAAATGGGCTAATAAAAATAATACAACAAACAATAATATAATGTTTTTTCCCATGTGACACCGAATGTAGGGAGCAAAAAGTTAAGAATTTTACAATCTATATTTTTGCAAAGTACCTTTCTGGATTTGTTGGATTTTTTGATAGTTTTATTAAAACAATTGAATCTCAAAAATACCGGGTAACTAGAAAAATATGCTGCTATTTTGTAGAAAATATGGAAATATTTCTAACTTTTAACAGAAAACAATGACACAAGCATTCAATAATATTGAACAAGAAATGAAGTGTTAAAAAAGACGAGGTTACAAAAGTATTAACTATGTTTGGTTTGAAGTAAAACGGTAACGCAGATAATGCTTTAAAAAAATAATATAAAACGTAGCTGGATCACACACATCAACACTTCTTAACACACGAGGTAATAACCAACAAATTTAACCACAAATTGCAAAAAAATATTTTGAGATCGGTTACATATTTAGATCGGTTACATATTTATTTAATAACATTTGACAATATCTCCAAAGAAACGAAGCCAAATTTGAATCTTCCTGTAAATTAAAAATATTTGAAATCACTTTCTTCTCTCGCTTTACCATTCGTATGTGCAATTACATGTGAAGCATCTAAAATCGTATAACGCTTTAAATTTAATTCATGTTTTTTATCAATCTGTTTATCTTAAACTTAGTTAAGTGAGTTTATCTTGCTTATAGAATAGCGTTAATAGGTAAAAAGGAATTGATCTTGCGGTTTCCAATAATAAGCCAAATGATTTTTTCGATTTTTTAAACAGCCGTAATAACCCCTCTGGAGGAATAAAGTATCTAAGTTTCAGATCAATCAAGTCAATATCAGAATCGAATATAATATGAGATTTTGCATACCGATCCCAAAAATCGATTTTCACTTCAGGACTTGAAACACGTGGGTTTTTGCTTATCATTTTTGCTTGTAATCGTATTTATCCACATATCTATAGAAAGATAATGTTATCAATGAACCAATCTAGTTTGTATTTAGAATTAATTTTGTTGAATATAAAATTTTCAATATGGCTTACAAAAATACACTTTCCGAAAAATTGCTAAAATGGCATAATGCAGGTTCCAAAAAACAAAGACTGTTCGTGCTTTTAATAACGTGTCTATTTATTTGCTTTGTGCTAATAATCAGTTTTCTTGCGGTTATATTTTCGCATCATCAAAGTGGTAACAACACAAATGAAGGTACGTATTTATGCCCATAATTGCCCTACTATTCTTAAATGTTCAAATGTTCTGACTAATTTACTTAGACAATGAAAATATTGTAAAAAATGCTGCTTTAAATTAAACATTTATGCGCCTATCCATATTGTAGAAATATTGCGCATCGCAGTATATAGCACAGATAAATGTTTTTCAGAAGCTTTTATCCATATATTGCTAAAGCGTTCCTTTTCGTTATTATAATTTGTTGCTTTCTTATTGCTTGATGCTTATTCCTTCAGAAGAGGACGCAGTGGGCTCTCTAGTGAGTACAGATAAAATATTCAATAATATTGAAAACTTTTATATTATATTAGGTAGCATTATCTCTTAGCATTTAAATTAATAAGTCGTTGTTGAATATCTACTGATAAGTAAAACCATTTTGAAAGTTAAAATTAAAACTTCCATTCAAATTAATGAGCAATAAATAATATATTAAGTAATATGAGAAGCCAACGATAGATGGACACATTTGTAAACAACTTGTAAACCACACAGCCGAAATGATAAAAGTCAAAGAAAATTTGAAACAAAAAATATAAATCATTAAATTTAAATTATAAATTTAAAAAAATTGTTCTCGAATAATCATTTACTGGTAGATGCAATAGCTCTATCTTACGACCGCTAAATAGCATAACATAAAGTTAAATTATCTTTCCTGCTTAAAGAAAAAATCCTAAATTTATTTTAAAGGCCATTTATCAATAATATTTTCAACATTTCTTCAAAACTTCAGAATTTTTCAGTTTTTGCAAAGATAATCTTTTTTCTAAATGTTCAATTAAAAAAAAACACTTACAAATACTGTCAATCTAAAGGTATTTTTCGCGAAAAATTATTTCATAAATTTTATTAGAGCACTTTCATTCAAATCAGTTTCCAACTTCGAATTTGGCACAAAAACCAAATAATCGAATTCAGTTTTTCACCTAAAATAATTAAGATTATCTTTAAAAAACTACCAGAGGAAAAGTTTACAAAAAATAATTTGTAAAATTCTCCGTCCTCATCGATCTGAAGATTTTTAATGTTTCTTTTAAATTTCAGGTCATTCTTGTTTTAGCAGAATTTTTTAGGTAATTCTGTCTACGCGAAAAAAAACACATTCTTTTCCAATTTTCCTTAAAACCACTGACAATCTTCTTCTTATTCTAATGAAAATTATGAAATTAATTTTATTAGAATACTTGCCTCCTTCGCCCCATTATAAAAAGTTTCGAAATTTGGGACAAGAATCAAACAATTTTCTATCAAAACAGGAACAGAATCAGCGAAAGTTTAAAATAAATTATTTGGAAAACTCGCCACCTCCGTTCCTCTGAAGACTGTAGAGCTTGTTGAAAAATGTGGTTTTTTAGCTTTGGCCGATTTTTTTGGCTTTACTTTCCACTCAATAACGTTCTATTTTGTAGAGTTTTACTTAAAAATACTGTCGATCTGGAGGTCTTTTACTCGAAAAATTAGAAGAAAAACTTAAAGCTTTGTAGAAATTTTACCAAAATTATTTTCAGCGTCAAATTCGGGACAAAACCAAAATTCAATTTCCCCCGCTTTTTCCAGAAAATCATTAAGATTTTCTCAAAACCGATCAGAAAATTAAAAGTTTGTAGCCAAAAACTCAAAAAATATAATTTTCTTCTTTTGTGACAATAATGAGATGACAGCTAAAAATGACAAAATTAATTTGTCTTAAAAATTCGCCTCTTTCATCAGCACAAAAACCAAATAATGTTATTCAGTTTTGTACCGAAAGTAATTAAGATTATCTTGAAAAAGCGGCTAGAGAGCAAAAGTTTCCAAAACATTAGGTGGATAATCTGCCACCCTCATCGCTCTGAAGATTCTTCAAGTTTCTTTAAAATTTCAGGTCATTCCAGTTTTAGCAACATTTCTATAAGGAATTCTTGCTACGCAAAAAACGTATATACATATATATGTAATTAATATTTATTTCCTACAGAAAAAGGCTATCGACCCAATAGGTCTTTCTGCCCTTGTGCAGTACATATGGGCTTTAGCCTAGCTTATTCTAAAAATAAAAAATAAACGTATTATTTTCAGTTATACGGACAATCTACATTCTGTGAAAATTATAAAATACATTCTATTGGAACACTCGGTTCCGGAACAGCTTTGTAAAATTGTCTCTGAAACCTTTTGCAGCTTCGAATTTTGGATAAAACCATAATATTTTTTTTTTAGATTTTTTCCCGAACAGAACAAGTGAAAGTTTATAATCAATTAATGTCAAAACTCGTCACTTTGTAGCTGTGAATAATTTGGTTTATTTAAATTCCGGTTTCTTCACTTTTAGGTCAAAATTTCTAAACAGATCTCTCTCTAAACAGAACAACGCGTTTTTCCTAACGTTCTACTGTAAAGTACTGGCAAAATAAGACTCCTTTATGCAAAAAAGTTAAAAGATGGATTTTCTAGAAAAGTCGTCGTCTTTACATTGTTACAAACGTCACATTTACAAGTATGTGTTTTTGTAGTAGAACACAAATGAGTGCTAAGCATGGCAAAACTCCTATTTCTATTAGAAAAATAATCGCAGATTTGTGAAATATGAAAGAATCCTTTAGAAATATTGGCAAAATAATTGGAAAATCACATGCCACTATACAGAACGAAATAAATCAGTACAAATCTCCCGTGTCGTATAAAGTAGGGCCTCGTTCTGGCCGTCCCAAGAAGCTAACAGCACGAGAAGAGTCTAGTGTGAGAAAGATTAAACGTAATTCTGAAAAAGAACTCCAAGAATTTCAGAAAAAAATTTTCGTCCGCTCCGTCTCGCGTGTCAACCGCCATCGCCGTTCGAAAAACGACACTTTTCGCCCTTGTATCGAAAACTACTATTAAATACTTTTCTTCACATTCCAAGCATCAAATACTTTGAAGGTAATACTTGCAGAAGTAAGTCCAAATATCATAAAATCTCCATTCCAGTTATCGTTCAAAAGGAAGGACGATCATTTTTAAACCACCCTGTTAATCTATATGATATACTATATAATATAAATGTTTCACAATACTTATAACAGTAGCCCTCTAACATCCATTGCCGGAATGAAATTCACTGCATATCGAAGAGTAGTTATGCTGCATGCATAGCAGAATCCCAATATTTGGTTTTCGCGTTCACAGTGCAACCAGCTCAATCTGCTCGACACATCGAAACACAATTTCGAGAATGTGCTGTTATATGGATTATTCACCCCGATCAGAGCAATGCCACGTTGAGTCAGTGGATTATACGCCACTTTCCAATAAACTTGTGGAACTGGTATCGCTTTCCTAGTCTCATTAACGTAGTATAAGTATAGTTCGGTTGGTTCACCAGAGTCCTCATGAGGTAATGTCGTCACTCCATATACGCCTGTCCATACCTAAGCAATGAGAAAATCAACTGTGGAGCAACCCAATCTGTGCATATTTTATGCATGTAAACTGTTACTCTTTATGTGGAAGTCTTTCTTCACTCCTTGCTTTTGTAATTGATATTTTTCTAAATTTGTAAAAACAGTAAACATCTTGCTACTGGAATTGTAATACAATGTAGGTTGATCAAAGCATTTCAGCAATTACTTCTTGCTGGGAAATATGAAAGAGTACTTTACATTTTTTGCAAATTTGCAAAACACAAAAAATTTTTAGGTATTTAATTTTAACGATGAAAACCTGCATTTTCATGAGGTTGATGCATCGCGAAACTGCGTGTCGTATTTATACACAAATACGTAAATACACAAAATTTTTAAATTTTAAATAATTTAAATTTAGTGAATATGATGAGCGCCATACAGTTTAAACACAAATATTTTGAAAGCCAAATCTATATATATATAAAATTCTAGTGTCACAGTTTTAGTTACCATACTCCTCTGAAACGGCTTGACCAATTTTGATGAAATTTTGTATGCATATTCAGTAGGTCTGAGAATACGTTGTTATCTATTTTTTATACCCCTAAGTGATATGGGTGCTGCCATAAACCCCTATCTTTTAATAGCTATATTAGTAATTCAATAAATTTAAAACAAAATTTTAAAAAAATCTTGAAGATTGAAAAAAACCCTAGGAATAATTTATATGGCAATACAACGTTTGCCGGGTCAGCTAGTACTAATATAGCAAAGGAAAATTAAAGTTTATATAAGCGTAATTTCAAACGTGAAATAAAAGATAGTGTGTTTGTTTTATAATATAGTTATATGTTTTTTGCAAAGCACCGTTTCTGTCGTCAATTATGAATATTTTTTAAATTTGAGCGTTTAGGGCCTTACAATATGATGATGATAATTTAAAAGCAAATAATACTGTTAAGCGTAAACTTACTTTACTGTCTCGTTGGGACAGTTTGCACAAACTACGAATATAGAAACCATGAAAAATAAATCTAGAAAACAGCTAAGAGGCGAAGCATGTACCAAAACGTGTATGCAGAAATTTATGTATGTATGTATGTATGTATGGGACAATTATCACACAAATCTTCTACAGTCCCGAGCTACATGCATGAAACAGTATTAGCAAATTACACTTACCTTTTGATTGCTTGATTTGCGTATTTAACTAATTTATTTATTTGTGGATTATTACAATTTATACGTACACTTTTTCATTGTCTGATAGTTGTGCGATAAAATCACCATCGCATACCTGTAAATCGACTCCATTTTCAGACGCATAGTCTCTCAAATCAATTTCAATTTGGTTCCAATTCCAGCCATTAAACGTCTGCCACTGAGGCGCAATGTTTTGCATGTAAAACGTTGCGTTTTGCTGTGCAGTATAAAAGTTATCACTTCTTGCCGTCAAATGTCCTCTGGCTAAATAGTAGTTGGTGGAATCTTGAATGTATTTGGTCGAATTGGCCTCTAATCCCAACTGGCCATTGATTGTTGCTCTCTGATTGGCTCTCACATATAAACTAGTTACTGATCCCACATCGTAAATACCAGACCCTTGAAGCCAGGAGGGTCTTGCAGTGCCGAGAACTTGCTGGTTGATGGAGGCAGTTTGGTTTATAAATGTATAGTAGRCAACCTGCAARGTCGGGTTGAAGCATATCAACAGAGTTTGCAAAAATCGACCGTCATCGACACTGAAGCCAGCTTCCAGTTCCACACCGTCTGAAGCACAAGTATTYCCAGTTCGTTGAATTCCTCTCCAATATGTGCTGCTACATATTAAATCWGACCATTCTATTATCTCATTTCCAACTGCAAACTCCGAGYCAGAGAAACACGTTCCGCTCAACAATGAGTTGTTCGTTTSAGATCCGCCAATTAAAATCGTTCGTCCTGGACATATGAAATCAACAGCTTCTCCGTGTTTAAATCGTAGTACTTTTTCTCCCCAAATCGGATAAAGAAAGTTGCTGGTTCCAGATAAGACTATTATAGGATGTAGGCT